AAAAAGTCTTACCTAGAATAATTGTATGATCGTGTTTTAGATCAGAAAATAAACTTCCACTGAATACAATGAATCTGTCATGAAAAAACAGGTTATTTAGAAACATCAAAATATTGAAACCACACACAACACATCCAAGCTGGTGTAAATACAGTTATTAAAATATCTGAATGTTAATGGTGCTCTGTCAAAAATAAATGTTAAAACTGATAAACAAGTAACTCACAAGTTATACAGTTAAATACATTGAACAAAATATTCAAAAGTATAAAAATTACTTCTCAGTGCCGGTCAGCTTGTCAACTCTTTCACTGCTGGTTAACTTGTCATGTCTTTCACTGTCAGTTAACTTGTCAACTCTTCCACTGTCAGTCAACTTGTAAACTCTTTCACTGTTGGTCAACTTGTCAAGTCTTCAACTGTCGTATATCTTTACGCCTCTTCTACTGTCGGTCAACTTGTCAATTTTTTCAATGTATGTCAACTTGTTACAATAGTATGAAACTGGTTGTTTGTTATTAACTGCATATATTTTATAAACATTTTATAAACCTAGATCTGTGTTACTGCACACCTAATAATTTTGTTTGTTGCTTCTGTTACTGTAATTTCAAACCTCATGCCTGCATTGCTGACTGACTGACTGACTTACTTTCTACCCCACCAGGACATCACACAAGCGATAAACACCCGATGATACAATGTGCCACCATGCGGGTGAGGATCACCGTGGAGAGGTCACAGAAACCGTTCAGCCTTTAGGACATATTTATGGCCAGGTTATATTGTGGCCCCTGGCAAGAGCCAGAGTAGGGCTTCAAATAACGAAAAATTCATCCTGAAAAGGACGAGCAGTAATATAATATTGCTGACTCCACACAACACAGTTAGCTATCTGCTGCTTCTAACCATTCAGTTCTCCTCTTCTTTGTCTTAGCATTCACCAGCTGCAACCTTTGATGGAAAATTCTGGTTGTTCATCCACTTCTGGACTTTGGTCCTGTTCCAGAACTTCAACCACAGAGTTTATGTTTTATGTGATGCTCTTGGCTGGTGGCTGGCCTACTGCGAAGAAAGACCGAGCTGGACAGGATAAAACCCAGCGCAATGATGTCAATCCTCTCGACTTTAACCTTTTCATCTTTCAGTATGCAATTCTAGAGGCTACAAAATTATTTTAAAAGGGAGAAAAAACCACAACACTACAGTTCTGCTATAACTTGTCTCCCCTATAGGGTTCTGGTCACATGGCCTAGAATTCACAACTTACTGTACACAATCTCTTGTAGGTAAACTGACCTGTCTATACTAATCAATAACATAACACCCCCTCCCCTAAAAACCACCACCCAAAAAATTGTGTATCATAATCGTGTGCCGTGCTAGTGTACATAAGCTCTCATGTGCCGCTATCTCAAATGATCACAAGAATCAAAGATCTGGTCTATGTTTTTGTCTCGGCTTATCAATGAATTTATAAAATAGCCTTCCTTCCATTTGTTTCCTTCCCTTCCAGGCTGCTACTTGATTTTCTAACCACCATGCGATTTTAGCAATCTCAATCTAGGTGCCAAATCCTAGATACCCCATTCAATCTCTACAGAAGTTATCATTCTGGCATCCATAACAGCTACACCAGTTTGGCAATCCCGCAGGCCGGTGTGGATAAGAACCTTTTTGCAAAAAAAATAACCCGCTGTGTCTCTAACTTTTTTTTATACACATCTGTGAGATTTTTTTTTTTTTTAAATACATGTCACAGGTTTATCTAATATTTTTGAGTTACGGCCTTTGCCTGTCACAGATTTGTCTGGCTAGTAATCATTTCCTGTGTTTACACATGTGTCAGAGCTTCAATTGACCAGAGAGACATGTGGATTTCTCTTGGAGACACCTCAGCTAAGTTATTTTGCGTATTCTTGTTTGTGACTGTAATAGTGTCTAATCATATAATAAGCTGACTTCTTTGCCTGCCTCAGTTTTTTCTGGCTAGTATTTCATGTGTTCACACGTGTGTCAGAGCTTCAGTTAACTAGAGAGACATGTGGATTTCTTTCGGAGACACCTCAGCTAAGTGATTTTGCGTATTCTTGTTTGTGACTGAAATAGTGTCTATTCATATAATATGCTGATGAAAACTGTCAAGCTGCAACATTTATTTGTGATTGTGACAATCTGAAGTTTACCAGTTCTTTTTTGTTTTGTTTATATATTTTCATATTTCTGCATGTCAACCTGAACTACAGTTGCCAGGTCAGAATTCTCTTCATAAAATCAGAATGTAAAACTATGTGATCTTTCAGCGTGTGCAAAAATTAAAATACAATATGACGTATGCAAATAACCAGATGAATACTACAAAATTTCACCAAGGTAAGTATGAAACTATAGAATCTTTGTGTGTGTTTTGGGGGCCCCATTTGAGAGGGAGGGGAACCCCGCTGGACCCTAACAAGTGAAGGATCCTTTTCCATACCTTCAGGTGTACTAACATAGGGCTAAACCTATATGTTATAGACCAATTGGCATGTGGTGAATGATGTGGTCAGTATCATACCGGCCGCCTTTTATTTCCCAGGACTATATTTGGTACCCACTCAAAGCTGGGCCGACCTAGGAGCCAACGTCATTTCTGAAGAAAGCCTGGTTCTGTCAGGACCCGAACCAACGACCTTCCGATTTACCAGGGAGCATCTAGCTGCTGGACAATGGCGACACCAGTCCGCTAACAAAAATGCTGTAAAAGTAAACTAATTAGGGATATTTCCTTCAAAATCGGAGTGCATCTGCCTGATACAAAGAAGCATTTGTTAATGGACTAACCAAAACAAAGATGGTCTGATGTCAGTTTTATAGCACATGAGAAAAATAAAAATAGTTGTGACAAAATAGTGTTTATTAATACAATAGAAGGAATGTTATAAAAAGTTGCGACAATGAACTGTTTCATGTTTCAGTACAACATAACATTATCAAAAAGTAAATCAACGTTAGTACTGATCAAATACAGACCTGAGTCGGGTATTTACAAGAATTATTAAATGAAAAATACAAAATTTTTGTTTCACAAAACTTCATTTAAAACTCATGAACATTTCAACTCTGACAATGAACTTCTCAATAATGACATTTTTCAGAAAACAAATGGAAAAAAAATTGACAGCATTTGCTAATGTCAGCCTATTTGCCACAGGATATTTTTTCCAGGTGATGCCAGTGTGATGGGAAATGAGCAGGCAGATAGACTGGCTGGCTCTGCACCACTTGGTGCTGAATTGATGTATGACAAGTTAGATATTGTGAGGGTCCTTTGGGAATGGGTGAATAGTGCGGAGGCGTAGATAGATCATTTCGGTCTGAGGAGAATGGTGCTGTGAGGAGTTACCAGGGGATCTGGCCGACGCTCAACACTCAGGGGAAGGATGAGATGGATTTACAATCAGACAGTTACTGGTACCATCGGAATTGGAACTCTTTGCTTGCTGCTGAAGATGGGGACTGAGCACTGATGGGAGTGTCCTGAGTGCTGTGATGTTGATCCTAATTCAACATTCCTTGCCACAGCAGTCACCATTTCCTGGTTGGAGATTTAAACTTATGACCATTAGACTGGCAGGCATCCACTATTACCAGTTACCTCCTCATGTGGATTCTGGGGGTCTCCGTGGCAAAGTGGTCAAACCATTCGCCTCACACTTTGAAGGTCACGGGTTTGTTTCACGGGTGCACCATTCAGTTCACGAGTGCAATTTTTAAAGATTTCCTTAGGGATTGTCACCGGAGCTATGGAGTTCATGCTCTGTGCCATACTCTCAGTAGATGGCTAGAAATTCTGCGGAGAGACACCGAGCAATATGGGATAAAAGCTCTGTGCAATGAAGTCAATTTTCTCGACTTTCGTAACCTTTTTTTAACCTTTAGGGTCATATTCTGGTGGAAAAAACAAGAAGAGCCCCTGCCCCTTTTCAAGAATGTCCTAAAAGATCATTAATTATGTAGTGGTTTGGAGAAAATAGATGCATTAGGCCAAATGTATTTACTGCAGCCTGGCTTTAAACCACAAAATTATGTGCCTTGCTCCCTTTGCATTTTACCTATGACAGTTAAACATCCATCTTAACAAGGAACCGAACCCCATCCCTGTTGCTGTGAAAGACCACTGCTTTGATTAGGTGGCCACAAGCTCTTCTACAATTATGAACAAATTACGTCTTCTGTCTGTGTAAACATTGTACATAACAGGCATATACAATTATCATTACCAATTTCCACTTCTGCAGTTGAAAAAAAAACTACTGTTGTCCCCACGTGGGCTTTAAATATGGCCTAACGGCTGAACAGGGTTTCCGGGACCTCTCCATAGATGATCCTCATCCACATGGAAGCACTTTGTGTCACCGGGTGTTTATCGCTTGTGTGATGTCTTACCTACCTTCTGCAGTAAAGCATGGTGGGGAGGAACAGTCTGCAATCTATGATGGGTAGCAATTGCTTCTTTCATTTTGTATTAAAGTAGGTCTTATATGTCACCAGTCCATATTTTCCTAGGGCGACCTCTTGCCATTACATCAGATATTTTCATGTGTACCGCCTGCGTTGGTGGTAGTTTTGGCTGGATTCTAATGAGATGACCAAACCATTTGATATACAATATAATAACCTCAATCATACAATGTTCTTATGATATTAAATCCAGAACAAAATAAACCACTCATACAATATAATAACTTCAATAATACAATGTTCCTGTGAAAAGAATCTAGAAGAAAAAAAATAAACTGCACATACAATATAATAACCTCAATCCTACAATGTTCCTGTGATTGTGATTCTAGGAAAAAATAAACAACATATAACAATTAAGTGCAATAACATCTGGGAAAATTGCTGACAAACTAAAACTAGCTTTGTTCTAATGAAGCTCACACAATACTTGCTGCAGATACTCCAAACAGTGACTGAAACTTCAAATGGCAATTGAAACTCCAAACTGTGGCAGTCTAGGCCTTGGGGGTGTCTCCATTTGCCACTGCATGTACACCGTTAGAAGATGGAGGCACTCTGGTTGAGTAGCAAGCATTCAGAAAAGCTGTTGCCACTTCATTGACCAAGCTACGATCTGGGATGCTCTGAGCAAAGCCATAGATGGCTCCCTGGGAACCAGACAAAGATTGCTCATGTTACATATCTGGTCCATGCAGATTAATAATACAAATGGAATGTCCTCAATCTCAAACCCAAAGGTACTAAAATAATAGAGGAAGATGAAAACACACGTAAAGACAGGAAAAACACAAGTAAACATAGGGAAAACATGTAAAGACAAGAAAAACACACGTAAAGACAGGAAAAACACACATAAAGACAGGAATTAGACACTGCATTTAATAAGAAAGGAAAGTAGATCTCTATATATGTAATGTTGTGAATTCCCGGGGAAATTCCAGAGAGTTTCCGATTAGGTGGACAAGGTCAGAGGACCAGTGAAACAAGAAAAAAGTGAGATAAGCAGGTCTCGAGTATCCCGTGGTGAGTGAATGAGGGATACAAGCAAATCATGAGACTGAAACGGAAGATGTGAACCCAGAGAGGGTAGGAAGGCAGGTAAAGTTCGGTGAGATAGTTGAACAGGTCATCAAAAATTAACCAGGCGTAGCAAACTCGAGAATACAAGGAGCGCATGAACAATTCGGTTGTGGTAACAGTATGGTTGTGGTAACAGCAAATAAAGGTTAGTAATTGAACATTGTCTGGTGTATTCTTGGCAACTGTGTGTACCTAGAACGTTATAATAGCAATGTGACGAGTTAAAGCAAACCCCTAGCAGAGTACATTGCAAGTGGGAGCTCAAAAAATGGCAGACCGGGACAATCACGACTGGAAAATTTTGATCCAAGTAAGCAATGGCGGAAGATGGTCAGAACAGCGACTGGACATCCAGCTGGTTGGACCAGTTAAACTGGACAGCTAAAAATAGGGCAAGAAAATGTCAACGTAAGAGGTGTAATGGGTCAAGGCCGCTTTCCAGCTATCGTTCGTAATTATACCATTGCTCAGTTTAAATTCATTTAGGGAAAATGATGTAGAAGTTCAAGGAACAGTATTTCAAATTGTGAAAACCGCTGAATTTGCCACTGGGTAATGTGACAGATAAGAAAAGTCTTTACAAGTGCTTATCATCGAATAACAACGGTAGTTAGTGAAGTTCCAGGAACATTATTTCAAGCTGTGAACCGATGTACCTGTCACTGGGTAATGTGACATAAGATTGGTCTACAGAAACGTTTATCAGTCGTTTACAACATTGTTTGCTAAATACAACAGATTATTACCTACAGTGATCGCTGAGCTTACTGATTTAGCACAAATGTGGTATATATCCTGTCGGTATACCTGGGGCAACCTACAGCCAGCACGATAGTGAATTTGAATATCTGCGACAACTGATATCCTGTCGGTATACAAGGGGCAACCTACAGCCAGCACGATAGTGAATTTGAATATCTGCGATAACTGATATCCTGTCAGTATACATGAGGCAACCTACAGCCAGCACGATAGTGAATTTGAATATCTGCGACAACTGATATCCTGTCAGTATACATGGGGCAACTTACAGCCAGCACAAAAGTGAATTTGAATATCTGCGATAACTGATATCCTGTCAGTATACCTGGGGCAACTTACAGCCAGCAAAAGAGTGAGTTTAATATCTGCGACACAGAGTGAGTGACGGCCCACAACTATAATAGCAGCAAAGCTGCAAGTAGACTGAAAGGTACAATAAGAAAGAGACAAAGACTTCTTTGGCCACATAATGAATAGAAAGACAATGGAGAACATCATGACAACTGGAAAGATCAGTGGAAAATGGGGTAGAGGCAGACCAGGAGAGACGATGCTTGATGGAGCTAAAACGATGTCATGGAGGGATATCATCAAGATAGCTGTTCCAGGCAACCAGGGATCGTGATCTGTGGAAACGCATGAGCACCTACGCCAGTCAGCAGTTCACATGATGATGATGATTTAATAAGAACAAGAGTCTTCTTCTTAAAGTTCACTGACTGTAAAACTCCAGCAGAAAGTTCTGGTACAGTCTGTTCCAAAAGTTATGCCCACCTTCAAAAAATCTGTAACTAAATAACCGTTCAAGGTAAACTGTTGAAATGTTGGCATGCAACCTGTTAATTTTTTATTTTGCCTTATTTGTGGTATATTAAAAATTAGAAACCGATTCAAAGCACACAGTTAGCATGTTTACCGTAAATGGAGTCATGTGAACTTAGCAGAACATTAAATTAGGCACGCTTTGTTAGTCCACTTCTGGACTTCAATCTTGTTCCAGAACTTTGCGCGCACATTCGTTTAAGAAATCTGGCTTTTTTGTATGCAGACTGTTGGCAGGTGCACTCTGTCTTGGAAGGCGCACATTCGTTTAAGAAATCTGGCTTATTCGTATGCAGACATTTGGCAGATGCACTCTATCTTGGAAGGAAATAACCCTAATTAGTCTACTTCTATGACAAGCTTGTTAGGAAGGCAGGGGGTCGATTCTTTTTCCCACCAAAAAATGTAGCCCCAGAATGCACATGGAGAGGTCAACATCACAATAACTACCTTTACTTCCCAGGACTTTGCCTTATAGCCATCTCAGCCTGTGTCAACCTGGAAGCACATCACTCTGCTGGGAATTTAATGTTTAAAAAAAAAGTGTACTCACTGCTCCCTGACACACTGCTTTCGGGTTCTTCATGATCTCCTTAACACAGTCTTGAATATCTGTCACAAACTGGTCAGCCACACCGTAATTCGTATGGAGCAGTGTCACACATAAGTGCAAACTGTGAGATGAGAAACATTAAATGGCTGTCCTAATTCTGAAAATGAAAGCAATGTTTGCTTGATGTAAGCCTGAACACAGAAGACAAGACTGCACAATGATTAACTCTGGCCATACTGTAAACAAAGACAGCGCATTCTCAATTGTGTATACATTGAAAGCCACCATGATAAATCGCTTCTGTCCAGATCTGCGCAGACAAAAAGACATAGCTGTGAACCTGTGTTTTTCCAAACAAAACAGGCAATTACTTTTGACAGTAGTTAACTTTATATCAGTTTCATCATCAGGTTGCTGGTCCTTTGCAGAACGTCATTCTCAACACAGTCTGCCTGAAAGAAATTCAGTCTCTCGCCAGCTCTTCCACCCCGTGCTCTTTCATATCCAAAGAGTCATTTATATCCTGTGCCCATCTTCATGTTGATCGGCCCCTAACCCCTCCTTCCTAGTACCATACCTTCCAATTTGTCCATGCTGCCATGGCGCATAATATGGACTACACATTTAAGCTTCCGGGACAAGATAATGTTTATTAATCAATCGTTCTTGATGTTCAGATTTTCAGAATGTTTCAGGTGTAAGGGATTCCTTTCTTTGCTTGGTTTTATCTACCTGTTACCGAAGTATGCCCCTGATGAGATACAGCAAAATACATTGTGTAATCTGTTGTTTGTGTCTTCCTAGTTCAGTAACCGGTACTATTAGCATTTCAACTGTTCATTGGTTACTGAAGAAGGAGACGGAGACCGTGTGGGAATACCCCAAGTGTAGTGATGTCAGTTCTAGATTTATTCTTTCATTCCTTGTTCAGTCATAACTTTATTTTATGGAAAGAGTAAGTCGTCCTTAAGTTGAAAGTGGAAAGTCAAGATGATCGTCACTGCACCGGGTGTTATCCCAGGGGGCTTTGTCTTTTTCCATACAAGGGCTAGGCGACTGCAGATAGTGTTGCACGAAGCATGAGCACCACAGCTCCAGCGATCATTACCACGGGTGACTGTAAAAATGACCGAACGATGCAGCTGTGAAACGAATCCACGACCTTCAGAATGAGAGCCAAATGGCTAGACCACTAGAGGGTGGTCCACAGGGGTGAGAAATGTTAGGCCACAACTACAAGATGAGGTGGCCATTTCCCTTGCTCACTGTTTTTTCTTCCCAGGAAATTCTGAAAACTGGCTGATACTCTGTGTGCGTGTTCTAGGACCCCATCTTGTGAGAGGAAAATGAACAGACCCCCCTCCCCCCAAGCATGTAATAAAAGGCGACTAATAAGAGGTGTTTCATTTAAAGTCAGAGTTATCCGCTTGAGAGGTCAAGAGTCATCTGCCTGCAAGGTCAAGAGTCATCTGCCTGCAAGGTCAAGAGTCATCTGCCTGCAAGGTCAAGAGTCATCTGCCTGAGAGGTCAAGAGTCATCTGCCTGCAAGGTCAAGAGTCATCTGCCTGCAAGGTCAAGAGTCATCTGCCTGCAAGGTCAAGAGTCATCTGCCTGAGAGGTCAAGAGTCATCCGCCTGAGAGGTCAAGAGTCATCTGCCTGACAGGTCAAGAGTCATCTGCCTGCGAGGTCAAGAGTCATCTGCCTGACAGGTCGAGTCATCTGCCTGAGAGGTCAAGAGTCATCTGCCTGAGAGGTCAAGAGTCACCTGCCTGAGAGGTCAGGAACCATCTGCATACAAATAAATCAGATCTGTAAAACAGGGGCTGCCTGCAAAAACTCATGTTCTTGAACAAGACCAAAGTCAAGAAGTAGATGAACAACCAGATCTTTTGGTTGGAGTTTGCAGCCAGTAACACTTGTGACACAGTCGTGTCTTTTGCTCACAACCCAGGTTCACTTATTGTTTGTCACAAGGGTGGCGGGTGTTTGTTGACAGACGAGGAGAAAGATGGTCGTGTCGTTTAATAGTGAAGTTTAGTGAAGGAGGAGGTGTGTTGCTTGCTGCATGCCTTTCACGTGACTTAGGTGCTTGAACTATAAAGTGTCTGAAAACACTTGTTATCTTTCTTTAAATCTCCTTCTTTAATATTATACTTCGACAATGACACACACAAATTGAAAAAAATCACATTAACTTCCTAAGTCTATATACTTGTAGTTTCGCGTTGTGTTCTTTTATCACTAATCACTTTGTAAATTAGATCTAGTGTCTTTAACTGCCACCGGGCTACTAGTGCAGGTTGGGCTAAAAGGTTTATTAACTAATACCGTCTATCGTGGCGCGGTGATTTCGGTCACAGGCATGAGGGGAAGTTAAGTCTGATGTGATGTGTATAAGGAGATATTCCGTACCCCACTCGGGCGCCAGTCCTTCACTGTTCTGGTTTTACGGAACCTCATGCAAGACTCCTGTTGCACGTCCCCATCGTGCGCCACGGATAATGTCTTAAATGAGCATTAACAGAGTTGGCAGGGGATCTCGGAGCTGGCGGCCCCTAGAGGTGTAGAGTCCTTTCTGGCTCTCACCAGCCCGCCCCCAAACACATGGGTGAAAAGTAACAAAACTCAAGGACTGCTTGCTAAATGTACCATCAAATGACAACTCTTGGTTAAAATTCGGGAGCGAATGGAAAACTGTGCTGCTGAGACTCAACCCTGACCGAGAGATTTACCCGCAGCCAAGACGAGTAACATCTCTTGTGGGCGACTTCTCGCAGCAAGATCCCACCTACGTACATCCTCTGTCAATCCTCAGTGTCGTCGTCACCGCGCTGAGGTACACCATGGCAGCAACTATTCATATGCTGGCTTGAAAACAATGTCCGACAAAGTTACACCCCATGGCACACATGCAAGCTCAAAGTCCGACGATCATAACTCGTACCGATTAGGAAAAGTCTGAATGTCAGTATCCACTGGTCCAACTCGCCCGAGTGTTGGGACCAAACAGGTGAAGCCAAGTCTGACCCATTTTGCTTCCCCATTCTGTCGTGCTAAGGGCACAGCTGAAACAACGTTAAAGGTGTCTAACGTAAGATGAAAAAGAATGTACCTATTTGTGTGGCCACAAACGTCCTAGACCTGCGGGCTGCTCCCCGCTGATCTCCGGAGAGCGCAGCCTTGTAGCGCGGGAAGCTCAATACACGGTTGTGAGGTTAAGCAGTCATGGGCAGGACGTGACGATTCCTTGGGTGAGCCCAGAACCAGAGCATCATGTGTCGGCTCTGCATTTATGGAAGCCTCCTTGGATGGCAGGGAATGCCCATGACCTGCACCTGCCTTCCCTTGAGGGCTGAAAACTCTACATAGAGCTGCCTTAAGGACGACATGCCGGGGGCCACACTTGTTAAAAGTCAAAGAGGACACCACACAAATAAGGCAACATCTCGACCCACACAAAACAATGGCCATAGTCAACCTAGAAATAGGCTTGACGTCTTCCTCCGAAGTCAGAGTACATCTGCCGGAGAGGCGGGGAACGAGTACTGCAAACAAATAAGCCAGTAAAACGGATGTACACGCAAAACTCAGGTCAAGGTAAAAGCCAAAAGTCCATTTTGGACGAACAACCGTGACTTACCGCCGGAATTCACAGCCGGTGAACAAGAAGAAGAAGAAGAATACCGTCTATCTACTTATCTATGCTTTCTTCCCTGCGTAATTAGCCGGTGCTTGTCGCTTGTTCTCCTCACTCCGTCTCTAGCCTGTCCCTCATCTGTTCTTTGCTGTCTTCTGCTGTCCTCTTCCTTCTGCCTCAGTTTGTCTCCGGTTGCGTCTTGTCTCTTCTCTATCTATGTCTATCTGAATCTGTAAGTCTGTCTGTCTGTGTGCGTGAGCTCCAATCCCCGACTGTCCGAGCCTGAATCTAAGTCTATCTATCTATCCATCCTTCCATCCATCCATCCATCCATCCATCCATCCATCCATCCATCCATCCATCCATCCATCCATCCATCCATCCATCCATCTATCTATATCTATCTATCTATCTATCTATCTATCTATCTATCTATCTATCTGTCTGTCTATCTATCTATCTTTCTGAGCTAACCGCTGGCCGAAGACCCCGGGCAATCGCTTATAAAGGGGTTACTAATTTACTCCCAGGGGGCTCCTATCCCTCCTTGTTTTGCAGTGTACTGCCATCACCTGAGCTGGCCGGGTCGTGGAATTTGAGTAATTACTTTGGAGCTTGGACGGGGAGAGTCACATGTCAGGTCGTACAGTTCAGGTACGTGGGAAAAGTTCTAACAATAAGGGTGAAAGCCACAAGGGTCTTACCGTGCAAACAGCACAATACTAATAAAAGGGTGTTGGAGTGCTGACCCTGTTATTCACTAAGAAGAAGACTACACATGCTGATCAGTATCTCCCCCATGCATTTACATTCTGGTACATTGGTAACCCTATCAGATTCACCAGCCAATGAAGCAACCACCTAGACATACCAAACTACAACAGCAGTTTTTTCCTGGCTTCAGAATCAGCTGTACGCACATGATGTGATCGTAACTGACAAAAAGCATGTTAAGAAATGTGGAGACAGGCATGCTCCATGAAGAGTGGCAAGCATCGCTTCAGAGATCCTGGGTAGTGTTCTTTGGATATTTTCTCCAAGGCATGCAGGAGGGATAGGAAATGAACAGGCAGACAGACTGACTGGTTCTTCACCTATGTGTGGTGAATTTATGCATGAGATGCTAGATGTGGTCAAGGCCCTGTGGAAGCAAGTGAACAATGCAGAAGCACAAATCCAACATTATGGTCTGGAAAGAATGATTACACCTGTGAGTGACCAGGGGATCTGGTCGACACTCTACACTCAGAGAAAATGCAAGACGGACATTCAAGAAAACTGCTACTGGCTTCATCACAACTGGAACTTCCCCGTGTGGGTTCCGGGGTCCCACTGTGGGGAAAACAAGATAAGACCCACTGCCTCCCCAATATGCATGTCGTAAGAGTCGAGTAATAAGGGACTTCCTTTAAAGTTGGAGTGCATCTGCCCAACAGACAAGGAACCAGCAGTCTGCATACAAATAAGCAAGACCTGCAAAATGGATGCACAGGAAAAAACTCAGGTCCTGGAACAAAGCCAAAGTCCAGGTATAGACAAGTAACCAGGTCTTTCCGCCGGGGTTTACAGACGGTGAATGCAAATAACAATAACAACAGGAACTCTTCGCTGGCTGCTGAAGATGAGAAATTGGCACTTAAGGGAATGTCCTGAATGTTTTGATGTTAGTTCTCAGCTCAACATTCAACCTTAACAAACCTGGAAGGAAACTGTAGAGAATTGAGGTTCCACCCCTTTTCCACCAGGGACTCAAACAGCCTGTAGACATTGAAAACACTGGAGCCGATTCCAATGACAGAAACTTGAGGTTCTCCAAATATGAAGATCTCCGGGATGGACTTTAATCTGTAAGTTAGAAGTGATGGGAGAATATTAAAAACACAGACAATAATGGAAGAGTATAAAAACATAGACAATGATGGAAGAATATAAAAACATAGACAATAATGGAAGAGTATAAAAACATAGACAATAATGGAAGAATATAAAAACATAGACAATGATGGAAGAATATAAAAACATAGACAATGATGGAAGAATATAAAAACATAGACAATAATGGAAGAGTATAAAAATATAGACAATAATGGAAGAATATAAAAACAGACAATGATGGAAGAATATTAAAAACATAGACAATGATGGAAGAGTATAAAAACATAGACAATAATGGAAGAATATAAAAACATAGACAATGATGGAAGAATATTAAAAACATAGACAATGATGGAAGAGTATAAAAACATAGACAATAATGGAAGAGTATAAGAATATTAAAAACATAGACAATAATGGAAGAATATAAAAACATAGACAATGATGGAAGAATATTAAAAACATAGACAATGATGGAAGAGTACAAAAACATAGACAATGATGGAAGAATATTAAAAACATAGACAATGATGGAAGAATATTAAAAACATAGACAATGATGGAAGAATATTAAAAACATAGACAATGATGGAAGAATATAAAAACATAGACAATGATGGAAGAATATTAAAAACATAGACAATGATGGAAGAGTATAAAAACATAGACAATGATGGAAGAGTATAAAAACATAGACAATGATGGAAGAATATTAAAAACATAGACAATGATAGAAGAATATTAAAAACATTGACAATAATGGAAGAATGTAAAAACATAGACAATGATGGAAGAATATAAAAACATAGACAATGATGGAAGAATATAAAAACATAGACAATGATAGAAGAATATTAAAAACATTGACAATGATGGAAGAATATTAAAAACATAGACAATAATGGAAGAATATAAAAACATAGACAATAATGGAAGAATATTAAAAACATAGACAATGATGGAAGAATATAAAAACATAGACAATGATGGAAGAATATTAAAAACATAGACAATGATGGAAGAGTATTAAAACATAGACAATGATGGAAGAATATTAAAAACATAGACAATGATAGAAGAATATTAAAAACATTGACAATAATGGAAGAATATAAAAACATAGACAATGATGGAAGAATATAAAAACATAGACAATGATGGAAGAATATAAAAACATAGACAATGATAGAAGAATATTAAAAACATTGACAATGATGGAAGAATATTAAAAACATAGACAATAATGGAAGAATATAAAAACATATACAATAATGGAAGAATATTAAAAACATAGACAATAATGGAAGAATATAAAAACATAGACAATAATGGAAGAATATTTAAAACAAAGACAATAATGGAAGAATATAAAAACATAGACAATGATGGAAGAATATTAAAAACATAGACAATGATAGAAGAATATTAAAAACATAGACAATGATGGAAGAATATTAAAAACATAGACAATGATGGAAGAATATTAAAAACATAGACAATGATGGAAGAATATAAAAACATAGACAATAATGGAAGAATATAAAAACATAGACAATGATAAAAGAATATTAAAAACATTGACAATAATGGAAGAATATAAAAACATAGACAATGATGGAAGAATATAAGAACATAGACAATGATGGAAGAATATAAAAACATAGACAATGATGGAAGAATATTAAAAACATTGACAATGATGGAAGAATATTAAAAACATAGACAATAATGGAAGAATATAAAAACATAGACAATAATGGAAGAATATTAAAAATATAGACAATAATGGAAGAATATAAAAACATAGACAATAATGGAAGAATATTAAAAACATAGACAATAATGGAAGAATATAAAAACATAGACAATGATGGAAGAATATTAAAAACATAGACAATGATGGAAGAATATTAAAAACATAGACAATGATGGAAGAATATAAAAACATAGACAATGATGGAAGAATATAAAAACATTGACAATAATGGAAGAGTATAAAAATATAGACAATGATGTCAGAATATAAAAACATAGACAATGATGGAAGAATATTAAAAACACAGACAATAATGGAAGAATATTAAAAACATAGACAATGATGGAAGAATATTAAAAACATAGACAATGATGGAAGAATATAAAAACATTGACAATGATGGAAGAATATAAAAACATAGACAATGATGGAAGAATATTAAAAACATAGACAATGATGGAAGAATATAAGAACATAGACAATGATGGAAGAATATAAAAACATAGACAATGATGGAAGAATATAAAAATATAGACAATGATGTAAGAATATAAAAACATAGACAATGATGTAAGAATATAAAAATATAGACAATGATGGAAGAATATAAAAACATAAACAATGATGTAAGAATATAAAAACATAGACAATGATGGAAGAATATAAAAACATAGACAATGATGGAAGAATATAAAAACATAGACAATGATGGAAGAATATTAAAAGCATAGACAATGATGGAAGAAAATAAAAACATAGACAATGATGGAAGAATATAAAAACATAGACAATGATGGAAGAATATAAAAACATAGACAATGATGGAAGAATATAAAAACATAGACAATGATTGAAGAATTTAAAAACAGACACTGAAGGAAGAATATAAAAACATAGACAATGATGGAAGAATTTAAAAACAGACACTGAAGAAAGAATGTAAAAACACAGACAATTTATCAAACTTTGGGGAGATTCTGTGGCTCAGAAGTTAGCAAGTATGGTTAATAATTTCATGATCCTCAAGAATTAGGCCTTGTTTTCCAGGTGGACAGTTAGAAAGGGAAAAACACATTCTCATGGTTTTCAGGCAATGGCACGAGAGTCACACCATGGAACAGACTGGTGCCTCACAACGTAATATTCTTAACGACAGCAGCGGTACAATTTAGCCATCCTTCACAGTTAAGACGGCAAGAAAAAAATTTTTTTTTTTTTTGGATGTTGTTAAAATCAAACTTTAAATATTTGAAAAACAGTTCAGGGACTGTTCCACTGACTTTTTTCTTCACAATCAAGTGTGATCATGTTGCTTCAAATCTTGCCATCTTCTTCTTAGATGCCAGAATATTTTGGGCTGTCACCCTTTCTACCCAGACCATGGATATTCAACTATATTCACTCAGGGGCCAATACGGAGCCCCAGGACAGAAAAATCATTAATACAATACAACTGGCAATGATACGCGGGCCACTTGCTAGGCCTCACTAGCCATATTTGGCTCGCGGGCCGCCAGTTGAATAGCTCTGTTCTAGACACTTGCCTGCCGGCCTGAAAGCCAAAGATTTTAATCCACCCGGAAACTGATTTCCTTTTTTTTTTTTTTTAACTGACCCTGGCTCCCAGATTAAAACAAATACCAGGTAATGTCATGGAAATAAAGATGGCCGGCAAGATGGTGACCATATCACCCATCGAATGAAAACTGACCTATAAAAATACAGGTCTCGAAACCTGGTGGTTCCCGGGGTTCACCCAACCTTTAGGTAATGGGTACCAGAGTTAACAACTCTGGAGTAAATGGAGAAATGTTACTGTAGCTACGGAGTTGCGTGCAGACAGTTTCATATCAGCTGTCAGAGCACTTAGGGTTTATAACCGTGTGCAATTACACTGGTACACATCTCCCGACTTTACCTTTACCTTTTAACTAGGGATAGCAAGTAATAATTAGGGATAATAAGTAATAACGTGGCCAAAATATAATGACTATCTCTTTCTGATATTTGTGGTAAGTGGTCTCCAGGCTTTCACTGCCTTCAAAACATTTAGATTACTGGCTAGATGGCTGTCCAAGGAATTGTAAGCATTTTTCGATAAAACCACATCTCTGTTAAAAAGTCAGTTGTGTTATCTTTTACAGGACACTGCAGAACAAACCCCAGCATGATTTAGCTGTTGTGATTTTTCTAAGCAAATTTTATGTTCAGTAGTTTGTCACTGCTTGCTGAACGGTCAGCACAAGGTACCATTTGAAACCAACACAAAACAAATTGTACGCAGCTGGGATCGAACCCAGCACCCCGGCATTAGGAATCATGTTCACAACGCCTAAGCCACAGACGCCGACATCTCTGTGGACTCAAATTATCTGGCTTGGTCACTTATTATCCCAGATATACAGCGATGTTAAACCCCTTTCATCCTTAAAAGGATTTTCAAAAAGGGGTGAGGCCAAGACAGTGTTGGAATCCCCCCAACCTTTAAAAAGCAACAATTTTACACACCATTAGTAAATATTTTTTAATGTATCCACATTTTTTGTATGTTGAGTTGAGTCAAGAACTGACAAAACAGCACTCAGGGCATTCCCATGCATGCTTCATCCTCATCTTCAGGAGCAGCAATACTGATGGTAGTGGTCACAATCTGGTTATATGTCTGTCTTGCCTTTTCTCTGAGTGTAGTGAGCTGGCCAGATCCTATGGTTACACCCAGGTGCCTCATTCTCTCCAGGCCGTAATAATTTTCTATCTCTACTGATTCCGTTGCTTGTTCCCAAAGGGCCTTGACCACATCTGCCTTGTCATGTATCAATTCACCACCCAGTGGTGCAGATCCAGCCAATCTGTCTGCCTGTTTATTACCAACCACGCTGGCATGGCCTAGAGAAAAAATCCAAAGTATGCTCACTACCCATGACCTTTCCAGTAAAGCTTGCCACTCTGCTTGAAGCATCCCTGTCTTCACCTTTCTCAGAATGCTTTAAGAGTACATTTTTGTATGTATATTGTTTTAATACATAAAGATGTAAAAGACAGTAATCATTAAGCACGAAGAGAGTGAAGGGCTAAATAGAAATAAAAATCCTCCCCCTTTCCCTCTCCCCCTGTAATGCTATTTTTAGCAAATATATTCATATCCTGACCTTTTTAACACAGCACAGTCATAAAGACGGCCAATGGCATTAATTATGCATCTCTAAAACAGATAATTTTGGAAAATTTCAGGAAATTGGACCCAGCTGGAAGTGTCATTTTTGTTGCTTCTTGGGGCAACAGTGGTTGACTCTGGTTCTATGTAGCATGCAAGAATTTGTTAAAGGTTTCCATTCATCCATTTTTTCTTTCAATTTTTTTAAATTACAATGTAGAAAGTGGAAACACAATCTAGCAACGAGTGTGGCAGTCAATCAACTATCAATATTATTCAGATTTCTTTGTCTATGTTTGGCCTTAAAAGGATATCAGACACACTGTGTTGTGGTTTACTGCAATTTCAGAAACATCACCCCCCCCCCCCCCCCCCTACCCCCCTCCCTTATCCGACCTTGCCGCACGCCACTCCAAGCGCGGTCCCAGAACTCACACAGATAATTCAAAGTCAAGAACATGAACGGATACCTGTTAACGATGTACTTGGTTGTGGAGACAATCCTTTTAGTGGTGTCAATATATCCGTCCTCTCCAAAATGCATCAACGTGGCCCAGCAAGCTGCAACAATGGAGCCCGCTCTGCTTCCTGTATTATGTAGAAAAAGGTTTACAGATTTCATATCAAGAAGATCAACTTCATTGCTCTAGGTCCTCAGTGTGGGTTCCGGGGCCTTGTTATAGAGAAAACAAGAATAGACCCACTGCCTACCCAAAAGCATGTCGTAATAGTCGACTAATTGGGAGCTTTTTTTGAAGTCTAAGTACATCTGCCTGAGAGGCAAGGAACCAACAGTCTGCACACAAATGTGTCAGATCTGTCAAACGGATGCACACGCAACACTCAGGTATTGGAACAGGTCTACAGTTCAGAAGTGGATGAACAACCAGAACTTTCCACCAGCTTACAGCTGGTGAACTCAAAGAAGAAGAATATTGCTCTAGGTTTTAATCCCATATGGCTTTGGCGATCTCCAGTCTCCACAGAACACAGTGCCACACAATGCAGGAACTCAAAAGCTGCAGCGATGGTGTACACCAGGGTTTTTCAACTAAGTTTACTCAGAGGCCACAATGGGGATATCAGGGGGCCAGAAGCCTGAGTTCCAGCAAAGGCAGATCACTAAATGCAATACAACTGGTAATGATTCACGGGCCACTTGCTAGGCCTCCGTAGGCCACAAATGTCCCGTGGGCCGTCATGTGAACAGCTCCGGTGTACATTGATCTCTGAGAAAAATGCACTTATAAACTGAAGCGTGCAGCCAGTGAAATGAACTATATATCCTCTGCATGTTATTCACCTCAGTCACTCATTCTCTTCTCCGTTTTTATTTTTATTTTAAATCTTTCTCTGTCTTTTGCCTTGTAGGTTCCAGTGCAAAAAATATTCAAAAATATTCTTGTTTCTTCACAAGACAACCCCCTCAATGGCTATTTTTAGTAAATATATTCATGTCAGGGCCTCCTAAATACTGTCTAGTCACAAATAGAACCCAAAGCTATTAGCTATGTTCTTGGGGACAGATTAAAGCAGAAATGCTGGTGAACTCTTTCAGTCCCAGGTAGTAAATACTTAAACCCTTTCTGCCCAAGATACTGAGCTTTTTCTTCTTTCTTCTTCTTTCCTCTGCTCCTAGAATGCCTCGCGACGTTAGGGCAGGAAGAGATCTCTGGAATGGGACCTTATAGAGTACTTTTCAGTGTCTCTAATATGTCTGTGGTCCATCTTCTGCGTGGTCGACCTCTGGCTCTGTAACCGTTGTATCTGTATAACACTGCTCTCTGTGGTGCTCTGTCCGAGCTTAAAAGCAGTAAACATTTTGGTCAGAAAGAGTTCAACTGAATCATTTTTGCACTGAAGCGTTAAACCAATACTTCAGATATACGGTGTTGATATAACATCTATCTGTTATAGAAAACAGCCAGAAATTATTTTCTCTTTGGAATGAAAAGAAAAGCATGGTGAGCTGTGTTAAGCATCCTTTAAGGAAATAACAAATTTTCAGCTGTTCCTGGCAAGAGAGTTAATTCCATGCTGACCCATGCAGCAGTATGGTTTTGAGATGAGTTTTATATCTGACTTTCTTTTGGCAGGTGTTAGGTAGAGAGGGACAGCACTTTGAGAAAGCGGCATGTGAACATTCTTGGATGACTGGCAGGAACAAAGTGGGTGAAATTATGCACTGGTGGATAAAATTGGTAAAAATGCTGAATGCCAAACCATCAGTACTTTATGGAAGTCCTTTAAGAACAAAGGCTAGGACAACTAAGCCCGATAGTAAATGTGAGCAGGCAGATCTTATAGAAAGGCAAGAGAATACTGTCACATTGTGGAGTGCCTGGAAATGTAAAAGCTGATCAACTGGCAGGGGAAGGTGCGACAAAAGTGCAGCCGGATGTACCAGTCACAGAAAAGAATCATTAAATCGATCAGGAAACCACCAGCCCCAGCACATAATGACTATTTTATTATGAACAGATCAGAACAAGTCATTAACCTCCGCCTCAGAACAGGGCACAACCTGTAACCACATGTACACAAAATTCAAGATAGGTGTATCAGCCATGTGCACCTGTGGAAAGGTGCCCCAGACAGCAGAGCATGTACTCCAGGACTGCACCGAATTAGACACATTAGGGCAAACCTTTTTGGCTAGAAAGAACAACAGTGGAGTGTAAACTCTATGGACCACTGAATGAACTAACGACAGTGAAATTTATACAAGAGACAAAATTACTGATACAGACAACTTATTTCAGGTGAAGGAAAGAAGAAGGAAAAGAAGACCAACAAGAGAAATGGGACTTAACGACCTAAAATGATGGCACAGTGGAATACCCTCAGTGGAACCTGATTCAAAATACCAATGACCAAGATCTGTTAAGAGACATGAGTGCCTATGCTGCAGGGCAGGACCCATGATAACGATAATTAATGTGTGTTGGTGTGTATATTTAATCCATTCTGAGGCACGTGACACTCACCTGCAAAGGTAGGGGATGCATACATGCCACCAGGCCAGTCAGGTTGGACAAAGAATTGGTGGGTCAGCAGATCTCGGTTTCTGTACATGATCACAGACGAGCCTTTTGGTGCAAAGCCATACTGTGTGAGAAAGCAATAAAAACATATTATTAACATGTCATCTTTTTCTGCCTTTTATCCCCCCATATGGTTCATAGGCCTTCAACCAACTCAGACCATATCGCTATCACATCCTGCTGATTCTATGTCCTCCTTATCTGTTTAACTTCATTCTAGTTTTGTTCTCCGCATGTTTTTGGTACGCTTTTATGTCTATGCCCATGTAGGTTCCAGTGTAAAAAAAAATTTTTAGCTATCATGCTGTCAAGTTTTCCCCTTGACAGCATCTTTTCCTCACATATTGATTCCCTGGAATTTGTTTAGTATTACACCATGAAGGCTAACCCGGTCAACAAATGCCCACAGAAGTCGCAAGTGTTGGCCGAAAGGTGCAAATATCGCAGCCATGCTGTAAACAGACACAACGCAATTACATCTTTGGATGAACGCAGAAGAAGAAGAAGAAGTTTAGTATTACTAGCATGTTATCACTGAATATCAAGATAAGGTACTGAGGTGCATTCAGGGAAACAGGTAGCCATGGACCATGCTGCATGGCAGGGGATAATTAGGAAGTGATTTCTTCACTGTCTGTAAACTCTGGCAGAAAGTCCTGGTTGTGTGTCCACCTCTGGCTGTTAGTCTAGTTCCAGGACTTGAGTCTTGCAATGTACATCCATTATACAGATCTGGCTTACTTGTGAGCAAACTGTTGGTTTTTGAGGAAATGTTGATCCTGCCAATGCTGGGCAGGCTCCGAAATGGGGGAGTGGGGGGGGGGGGGTCTGTTTCTAGGAAAGAGCTATTCAACCAAGTTTATAAAGGGGCCAAAATGTTAAAAACGGCGATTGTCACAGACCAAAGGCCCAAGCCCAAGCACAGAAAGAAAATTAATACAACATAACTGGCAACGATCTGCAGACGACTTGCAAGACCACCACAAACTAGCCCACGGGCGGCCAGTTGAAAAGCCCTGTTCTGGGATGACCACCCAGAGGTGCAGATAGGTCTTGACCAGTTTCTATCCTGTTCCTGGTACACCTCCACATGTTGAATGTTGCTGAATGTAGTATGTTGAATTAAGAATCGACATCACATCTCTCAAGACACTCCCATAAGCACTCCGTCCCCATCTTCAGCAGCAAGCAAAGGGTTCCAACTCTGATGGTACCAATAACTGTTTGATTGTACATCCGTCTCCCCCTTCCCTTGAGTGTTGAGTTTAAGCCAGATCCTCTAGTAACTCCCCACAGACCGTAATGATCTATTTGTCCCTCTGCACTGTTCACTCACTCCCAAAGGGCTGTCACAAAATCTAGCTTGTCGTACATCAATTCACAACCAAATGGTGAAGAACTGGCCAGTCTATCTGCCTGCTCATTTCCCAACACACCAGCATGACCTGAAGAAAATATTCAAAGGACATTAACTACCCAGGAACTCTGAAGTGATGCTTGCCACTCTGCACGGAGTATGCCTGTCTCCACCTTTCTCAACATGCTCTGTGAATCAGTTACAATCATGGCATTTGTGTACACCACTACATGTGGTTTAGCACTTGTGCATCCCAAAACGGAAGGGCACAATGACTGCAGACAAGTTCAAAGCCGAGCATCTGAGAAGAAGAAGGTTAAATACATGTGATGGCAATAACGGTCCTGAAAGCCCATGCTCTAAATCAGTGGTTCTCAACCTCTCAATGCCGTGACACTTTAATACAGTTCCTCATGTTGTGGTGACCCCCAACCATAAAATTATTTTTATCGCTTCCTCATAACTTCAGCGAATATGCGTTTTCCGATGGTCTTAGGTGGCCCCTGTCAAAGGCTTGTTTGACCCCCAAAATTGTCATGACCCACAGGTTGAGAACCACTGCTCTAAATGTAAAAGACATTTCTTAACACAATTGGGTCTTATAGTCACTTGCCTTTGACATGGTCTGTGATATCCCCAGCCCCCCCCCCCTCCCCCCTCCCCAGCACAATATAATATTCTTGTCTGGAAAGACAAAAAGTGCCAACCACTCAATAACAATGTCAGCATATAAAAACCAGTAAAGGTCAAACAAATCACTGGTATTGTCTATCTTCCTATACAGATGTGACAGGTGAACTCTCATTGTGGCAAGGATGATTCCAGTTTTGTGAACATCGATGCATAGATAAATTACCTATTTAGAATATAAAACTAACAAATATGTAAGAGACCAACAACAACAAAAAACATATTTGCAACCACATAATTTTAGCCACAATTCAAAGTTAGCTATAAAAACACAGAGGTATAACCATGCAGTGAGAGCTATAACCACAAATAATGATGTCTAACCATACAGTAGGAGCTATAACCACAAACAATGAGGTCTAAACATACAGTAGGAGCTATAACCACAAACACTGAAGTATAACCATACAGTAGGAGCTATAACCACAAACACTGAGGTCTAACCATGCAGTAGGAGCTATAACCACAAACACTGAAGTCTAACTACGCAGAAGGAGCTATAACCACTAACACTGAAATTCAACCATACTATGCAGTAGGAGCTATAACCACAAACAATGAAGTATAAACATACAGTAGGAGCTATAACCACAAACAATGAAGTATAACCATGCAGTAGAAGCTATAACCACAAACACTGAATGTAACAAACCACAACTTTTGCAGTGACCATATCTTACCTTATGTGTATCTGCAGATATACTTGTGACCCCAGGAACACGGAAGTCAAATGGCTGCAGGGGGAAGCCAGCCTTCTCCATAAACGGCAACAGGAACCCACCCAGACAGCAGTCTACATGGACTGGTAAGCCATACTTCTGGCCCAGCTGTGTTCAAATATAAACAATAGTTTGCTACCATGTTAGGAGGAATATCCTCTCTGTACAAGGTACTAACAATATGGTGACTGCATAAACTCCTGGTGTTGGTTCTGGGGCCTCACTGTTGAAGGAAAAACAAGAGTAGACCTTCTACCGCCCTAAGAGGCCCATTTGTCATTTCGGGGGGGGGGGGGGGGGGGGGGGACAGGTTCAAGTCCTCGCATGGTAACTATAGCTTTAGATTTTTAGGTTGTTTAGTGTGTCCTTCTATTTTTCTACATCTTTCTATGAGTGCCAATCAATACACAGTTTGCTTGTTTATTATAAATAAAATCTACCCGAAAAGCATGTCGTAAGAGTTAACTATTAGGGGTTTCCCTTGAAGTGGGAGAGGCAAGGAACCAACAGTCTGCACATGCATACAAATAAGCCAGATGTGTAAAAGGGATGTGTACGAAAAAAGAAGACTGGTTAAACACATCTCTTATTCTTTTCTGTCCTTTTCTTCTGTTATGTGAGCCCATAATATATTATACCTTAGCAGTTAGTGCCACTCCTTCTCTACCATAGTTACTTTAGTCAAATTTTTATTATATTTTCAATAAAACCAGCACAGTTAGATAGCTGTAAACAATATCTTTCCAATGGTACCTCATTTAGGCTTGTATGTCATTTCTGAGCTGAGATATGTAGGTTTTTGTGGAGCTGAGATGTAAAAAACAGCCGCTAAAACTTGTGACCCAGAAACAAGAAGTTTTCTCTGCGCAACCAAACTGCGTACTTCTGTTTTGGCTTTGTTTACATTGGACTGTCATTGGACAAGATGGCAGACAATGAGACACAGCCACTGGCTGAGCCAGCGATTGCCTGAAAAAATGTCACTGTACATCTACCTAGCCACTGTTCAGAAAGAAATTTTATACACAAATGTAAAATTGGACGGAGAATTCAATTATAACTCGCATTACCAGGACGAGTAACAGTTAAAGCCTAAAGCCAACCTTGAAAAACTTCGCTATTTTCAATCAAACTGATGTAACAGAAAAACAGAGGACGTCCGGCTGTCATAGACATGCGCTGTTAATCGGGTTTGTTCCCGCCGCTTTCAGCTATTTATAGCTGGTGAAAATCACACCAATCACAAAATTTCACGAGAGATTAGGACCCATCCCGAAACCCCAGCCGAGATTTCCCGAACAAGTTTCGAACGGTTTCCGGGTAATGGAAATTGCTGAAAAGACCGCAAATTGCCGAACACCGTAGTCGCTACTCTACCAAAGCTATATTTTTGAATTCCTAAAGACTAAGATGTTCCTGTAAGGTACAAAAACTTTAGAACAGTGTTGAATAAGAACCCATTGCACTGGGGGAAGGGGGGTCTCCTTGGTGAAGTGGTCAAGCCATTTGCCTAGCGCTCTGAAGGCTGTGGGTTCGCTCCACAGCTGCGCCCTTCAGTTCACAAGAACAATTTTCACAGAGATCACTGGGGAATCCTTACCGGAGCTACGGTGTTCGTGCTCTCTGCGATGCCCTCGGCAGGCAGCTAGCTATTCTGCAGAGAGAGATCAAGCCATATGGGATTAAAACCCAGTGCAATGAAGTCGATCCTCTTTTTAACCTTTTAACCACTGCTACACTTCCCATCCAGAAGTGATTCCTTGAGTATGAAAGTAAATGAGATGGGAGAGCTGGCGAGAGACCGAGTTTCTTTCAGGCAGACCGTGATGAGAGCGACGTTCTGCAAAGGACCAGCTACATGATGATGATGATGATTGGAACAGGCTCTGCAGCCGTCGGTAGAAAGAAATTCAATACTGGAAATTCAGAACTCTGCCCGTGTGATCAGGCACCACAGAATACTGAACATGTGCTACAGAGGTGCTCTCTTCATGCTGCAGAGAGATCCCAGGTTTTGCCGATTGGCTTTCCAACGGAAACCAAGCTGTAGGGATCAGTAAAAGACATGTGTCACACCACAGACATCATAGAGGCCTGTGGCCTTCTCACCTGAAATTCATTAGCAGGGAGAATAAAAAATAGGAAAATGAATTAAGATCTACTTCGGACTATAAGTGTCATGCTTACCAGTACAGGACTGCAGCGTACACCAGGGCAGGACCTGGAGTAGCTGTTTTGGGTATCCTAATTATAACTTCTTGGAAATTTGAATTTGCCCTGTTGGTCTGACATCCAGGATGTGACTTTTTAAGTCACAAGGATCATCAAACTTTCAGGTAACAGACCGGAGCAGGAGGGAAAAAAAACACGCATCAGTCACTTATGAGATGCACCTGGCCAGAACAGAAGGGAAGAGAACATTAAAGTTTTTAATGACAGAACAATTGCAATGAAACTCCTACCTTAGCAACTTCCTGTACGGGATCAATAATACCATGAGGAAAGTGGGGTGCTGATGCCACAAGCTGGGGAGATTGACAGGCACATTATTAAAGTCTGGAAACAAGCAATTAGGCAGTTTATTGAAACTATGCTAACATGAAAACACTATCATAAATTCTTCTGCTTCTTTGCATTCACCGGCTGTAAATTCTGGCAGAAAGTTCTGGTTGTCCGTCCACCTTTGGACTTAGGTCTTGACCTGAAACCTGAGTGTTGAGTGCACATCCATTTTACAGTTCTGGTTTATATGTTTGCAAACCGTTGGTTCCTTGCCTCTCAGGCAGATGCCCTCCGACTTCGAAAGAAGCCCCCAGTTAGTCGACTCTTATGACATGCTCATTGGGAAGGAAGTGGGTCTATTCTTGTTTTCCCCAAAACGGGGCCCTGGAACCCACACAGGCAGCAAGTTACAGTTAAAAGCAAGGGGATGTAACAGGGAAAATATTACAAGGGGGAAACATAGACAGAAATACCGACAAACAGAGGTGGCAGATAAGGACACACAAAAAACAGATAAGAATTCAGAAAAAGGGTGAGAGCACTTAAGATAAACCGGAAATAACAGGTAGGATGTCATCAGAAGGAAAAGAAATCATAAAGAGTAGAAGTTATAAGGCAAGTAGAAGTCAAAGTAGTAGCAGCAGCACAATAGAGATAATTCTTGCGATATGAGCAACAGTTTTAGTAACATTAGTAGCAATAGTAGCAGCAAAAGCAGAAAGAGCTGTAATACCAGTATGAGTGGTCAGATGAGCAGTAATAATATATTTAAATAGCAGCAAGTAGTGGTAGTAGTGGCGGTGGTTGTAGTAGTGGTTGTGGTTGTATCAGTGGGTGATGATTGTGGTGGTAGTTGTGATGGTATCAGTAGTGGTGGTTGTGGTTGTAGCAGTGGGTGATGATTGAGGTGGTAGTTGTGATGGTATCAGCAGTGGTGGTTGTGACATGGTGGTAGTGGTTTTGGCTGTGGTAGTAATGGTTGTGGTGGCGGTAGTAGTAGTGATAGTGGTAATCGTGAAAGTAGTGGTGGTGGTGGTAGACAGTAGTGGTAGTAGTGGTGGTGGTTGCGGTGGCGGTTATGGTTGTGGTGGTGATTGTAGTGGTAAAAGTGGTGGTGATTGTAGTGCCTATGATGGTAGCAGCAATGGTGGTTGCGGTAGTGACTGTAGTGGCAACACAGCAGTAGCAACAGTAGCAGCAGTACAAACCACGCATGTTTTCCTGCTGATAGCTCGTCTCATAGCCACAAGGTCCACCATTCTTGTCTTCTCATCAACTGGTATATGGGTGATCTTCATATGGAAGTAGCTAGCAGCCTGTTCAACACAGGTGACAACAGGGTTATAAAAAATACAGAACACATACATTTTTTTTGAAGTTATAGACTTTTATTTTCATATATATATGTTCTGAATGTAGACACCAATTATCTACTGCATCTTAATTATAAGATTCAATTTAAAAGTGGTAATACAACATAATTACACAACAATTAATAATAATATTTATCTACTCACTCCCACCCATGTAAGTCAGTAGGTTACTTTCTAATCTCAAGGTGCCCCAATACAACTGTTATTTGGTTGAAAAGGATTTGTGGGATTTTGTTGTTGTCTGGGACACAATGGTGAGGAGGGTAATGAGCCGGCTGAAGATCAGCTTCTGTTGCTCCTCTGGGTGGTGATCTACTTTATGATATTGCAGACATGGTGAAAGCCCTCTGGGATCAAGAGGACAGTGCAAAAGAACAGAGTATACATACTCTGAAAGACTGGGGGACTGCATGGTCTCGAGGTATGGTGTCCCGGTAAGGGCTGGGATTTTTTCACTAGACCTAGACTTCTAGTAATTCACCCTGGTCTCTGGGCAGTGAGATCGGACGTCCGTGTGCATTGTTGCGCACGTTAAAAAAATTCCTTGGCAGTTGGAAATCGAAAAGAGTAGCCTAACAGCGCTGCCCATGCACAATTTTTAGTTACAAATCTACCCAAAGTATTTCAGGATCCTCGCCGGTGCTACAGAGCCAGTGCACTGTGCTGAGCTTCTTCTTGAGTAGCACTTATGGGTTACTACCCCTAGGCCATGATGTTGATCCGCTGTTGAAACTTTAAACTCTGAAAGACTAATTCACTGTTGTGTAGGCCGGGGTTCTGGGCATTATTCTTCCTCTTTATCACATACACCGGTTGTAAACTCCTGTGAAAAGTTCTAGTTGTTCATCCACCTCCTATTTTCTTTTTGGGGGGGGGGTACCTTTTTGTTTTGTCTAGTTTCAGAACCTGAAAGTTGTGCATGCATCCATTTCACAGATGTGGCTTATCTGCATGCAGACTTTTGGTCCTTTGCCTCTCAAGCAGAGGCACTCCAACTTCGAAGCATGCCACCACTCGTCCCCTCCTACAATATGCTTGCTGGGAAGGCTGTGGGTCTGTTCTTGTTTTCCCCCACAACATGGCCACAGAACCCACACGGGGAGGATGATAATCAACGCGGAGTGGAAAACATGGTCAAACTTTTAATTAGATTGCAACTGGCACTATTAGCATGGGAATTCTTCGGTGGCTACTGAGGAAGAAGGCAAAGCACATGTGGGAACGTTCTGAGTGCAGCGATGTCCACTCTTTATTTACTCCTTCATTCATTTATTCTGGGACTTGCTCCTGTCATAAGGTCTAGCAACTTTAAAAGAATGGCTCCGTCTCTTACAGATGCGAGATCTTTAAACGGATCCCACGACCTGAATGCCAATACACTATATATCAGAGTGACAGTTTAGTCTTCCAGCCGATCTGCTTGCATACCAACTCGGCAGCCATGTGTCTGAGGCAGGCTCTTCTTCCTCTTAGTTGTCCCAGTCACCGGCTGTAAACTGCAGCAGAAAATTCTGGCTGTTCATCCACTTCTGGACATTGGTCTTGATCCAGAAATTGAGTTTTCATTTTTGTACACATCCTATTTACCAATCCAGCTTATTTTTATTTGTATGCAGACTGTTGGTTCCTTCCCTCTCAGGTAGATGCACTCTGACTGAAGGAAACACCCTTAATTAGTTGCCTCCTATGACATGATTGTTAGAGGGGCAGTGGGTCTGTTCTTTGTTCTCCAAAATGCAGCCTCAGAGGCTTCACAGGGATCTGGGTCACAAGGACCTGAACTTCCAAGGAAGTCTGTGCCATTTCCACAATGGAAGCTGGCTACACAGCACATCCACCACCTTCTCTGGGATATTATGTGGTGAGAATCACAATTTCTTCCACAGTGTGATTCTTGTACTACTGTCTGAAAACCATGATATCAAACCCCCCTCCCCCCTTTTCAGTCATAAGTAGCTTTGAATTCAGCAACATCTCAGCTGTTTTTTCTATCCACGGGTTTAAAAAATGTCTAGTCCCATAGAGTTGACAAAAAACAGCTTTAGGAGATAAGGTGTTAAAGTAACAACCAGAAACTAAGGGGTTAGCATAACAAAAGAATGGGATAAGAAAAGTAAAGTAATCTGTACCATAGTGCAACTAATAAAGGTTTGATACTAAAAGAGTTTTTAAAAGAAATACCATCCCCTGTGGACAGTGAACTCCAGCTCTCAAGGATAATGACATTGTGAAATGCATTCTTTAACCTCGTAGACATGGCTTTCAAAAAAAAAAAAAAACCCAGCTCAAAACAGGTTCCAGGAATATTCACTGGAAGTAAAGACAGCTAGTGTAAAAGCAATTTTTCAAGGAATCAGACAGTGATCAGGGTTAAATGAAAGACCGGCCTGCGTGCCCAATTTGGGACCCTTAAAAAAATTGGAATAAAATTTATAATAACCATATCACCTTTCTCATACTACTTGACCTAAAAATAACTTAGGTCTTAATTACTGCCCACACTGAGGATCTACCAACCAAATAATCAATTCATTCATTAAAAACTGCACCTACCTTGTCAAATGCGGCATGGGCTGTAACGGGTGCAATTCTGGAAACAAACAAAACAAAACATTTCCTGTAACAAATTTCTATATCCTCTCCATGTCACTGCTGACACATAAGGCATTCATAAGCCATCTCCACTGCTGCCGGTCTGCTGCTTTTCTGCCCATGGTATCCCATGTCAGTTTACATTCCTTCATTTGCCGTTCTATTGTCCTTTTCCAGGTTTCCTTAGGTCGTCCACGTCTCCTTTTCCCCATCTGCTGTCCATGGGAGAGCTGCTTTTCCCATGTAACAAATTTACAACAACAACAAACAACAAAAAACATTACATGATTATTTCACCATCATTCTTACTTCAAAGCCTGAGAGCATGGTGGCTGACACCTGTCCGCTGGCCCATAGTTCGAATCTACATCAGAGCAGATATTTGTCTTCTTCTGCGTACATCCGAAGATGTAATTGCATTTATGCCTGTTTACAACACTGCTGCAATATTTGCGCCTTTCGACTGACACATCTGACTTCTGCAGGCATTTGTTGACCAGGTTAGCCTTCCTGGTTAGTTTCGTGGGACACTGCAGTCTCATTGTTGTGTGGTCATCTGTGTTTCACTGATCACAGGTGGTGCCCCACATCAGGCCGGTCCAGAGAAGCCCCATAATGCTGGTCAGCCCTCAAGAGAAGGCAAGGGCCAAACATGAGCATTCCCCGCCATCCAAGGAGGCTTCCATAAATGTAGAGCCAATTCATAACACTCTGGTAGTGAGCTTACTCAAGGAATCATCACGTCCGACAGGGTGGAATGTATCGAGGCAAGTAACCTGACACTATCTCTGCCTGGTGGGGCTCTAGGAGATTAGCACCATATCTATACATTTTCATTTGTGTCATCACAAAATTAGGGCGTGTCTCTCTTCGTCTGGTTCCTTTCCTTTAACCTGTCCGGCATGGGCAGTTGCTAAGCTACCGCCAACATAACTCTTAGGGTCACTGTAACACACAAGCCCCTCTACCACAGCAAGGTGTACACAACACAGGGGAGACATTTTTTTATAATAGACTGTCACTCACAGGTCAACCCAGCATCAAATTGGTAACAGGAAATTTTCTTCTTCTTCTTCTACACTTACTCTTAAAAGGGTGGTTAGCATGTTGTGTTGTAGTTTACAGTTAGGCTGCATTATCTGAACCTGTTGTTGTTTTTTTTAATTTTATTTTTTTCGACCCAACACATTCAATTTCAGCAAAATCCTAATTAGTCGCATTTTACGACATGTGGCTGGCCCAACAGTTTAGAACACTGGACTCAAGAAGTAAGACCCTGGTTCGAATCCTCTGTGACGTTGAGGAATTTTACCAACTGGGGGCAAAAATAAAATCCTAGCTTGCAATCTGTGGCGACAGCACTAGCCATGTCGCCCTAAATACCCAGCCTTAATAAAGACCACCTATGGGTTCACCGCAAAAATTATAAATTGAAGCAGGTCTTGGAACCCACACAGCGACTACTAGAAAATGTCTCAAGAGGTAAAGGCTGCCAGCAAGATGTTCATGACATCTCTCACCGTTAGTCAATTCCTACAACATGCTTGCTGGGAAGGCAGTGGCTCTATTCATGTTTTCACACCATAATGGGGCCTCAGAACCCACTCAGGGACATCATTTATCCACACTAAAAATGTTTTTTTTTTTTTATTTAGAAAACTCACAATTTTTTAGATTAAGTGATTCTACTTCTTCTTAGCGTTCACTCTCTGTTAACTCTGGCCAAAAGCTCTGGTTGTTCGTCCACTTCTGGACTTTAGTCATGTTCCAGAATGAGAGGTTTGCATGAACATCCATTTTATGGATCTGGCTCATCTGTAAGAAGACTGGTGGTTCCTCTCACCTCAGGCAGATGCACTCTGACATCAATGGAAGAACACAAGTCTTTTATGACATTCTTGACCAAGGGGCAGTGGGTCTATTCTTTTGTCCACAAAATGATTTAGCGGATTCACCTCTAAGGCATTAAAACGTTACTGTAATGATGGGATTTTCCACAGGGGATTTCCTACTGACAATCCAAGGGCAAACATGAGATCAGAGAGAAATACGTGAAAACAGGAAGACTCATAGACACACAAGATATACGAACAGTGCTAAGCATAGCATGTGAAACCCAGAATGAGACCAAGGTCTAATCAGTTAGTATGTTTTAGACAGCTAGAGTGAAAGGTTGTGTTCGTGAGAAGTGCGAATGTGCTAGTGTATAATTGAGAACGTGGAGGAGTTTGGTTCCATGAAGTGATAGCCTGATGACAGCTTAGCCAGAAGTCTAAGCCGACAACACAACCGGCCACAGAGGTTTTACGGCCAACAATCAGAGATGCTGGATCAGCCCTTGTGTGTATGGTGTGTATGATACACTAGGACTGAAAGGTAAATAGCGCAGATGATAGGAAACATCAATTATGTACGTGGCAATTGTTATCATATCTTGCTTGACCATGCTGGCATGTAGCAGACTTTGACTGGACTTGATCGTCTTGAAAGTTGAATAAACTAAATTATCCACAACTGGGTCTGCTCAATACCATCTGTGCGAGTCAGTGTGTCACTGATTACAGAAACTTGATAAACCCCTAGCAAACAGCCAAAACACGGAGCAGACAACATAGAAGTTACTTTTTTTCTTACATGTACTCCCCCATCTGGGTTCCGGAGCCCCATTGTGGGGAAAACAAGAACAGACCCATTGCTTCCCTAAAAAACATGACACAGAAGTCTACTAGTTGGAGACTTGCTGGAAAATCCCCGTTTGGTGGGCAATGTGGTCAACATCATATGGGCTGCCTTTACATTCTAAAACATTACCTGGTACCCATTTTAGTCTAGGCTGCCAAAGCAGCACACAAAAATATATATATCCAGAACGGATAGATTTAAATCCAAGACCTTCAGGCTGGTAGGCGAGCAGCGAGCATCCAGCCACTACACTACCACAACTACCATATTTGTGATATGATGTAATATTCGACGCATATTACGTGGCTCTGTGGCTTAGAGGTTAGCAAATGCAGTTAACAATTTAAGGATCCTCGAGTACAAAGGTTCGTCTCCCACACTAGAGGCTTTCAAAAAATCGTTCTCGTGGTTTTCGACAATGGTACGAGAGTCATACAATGGAAGAGATAGGGCCTCACCAAGTAATATTCCCAAAGACAACCGTGGTACACTGTAGCCAACCTTTACTGTAGGGGCAGCACAGAGAGTAACAAAAAATGAATACTAGCTTCCTCGTTAAAAGACATGACACTCATTTTAAAGCCATAATGGATGGAAAAGTCAACGGCAAGACAGCAAAAGGCAGACAATGATCGAAGTGGGAGGACAATATTTATTTCAGTTTGACAGTGTTAGAAATGCACAATATAAAAACCAATGGACATTTCTTTCTAACTTATATTATTTTGCACTCAAAATCACAAACATAGCAGAATAAAAGATAGAAGAATATGGTAAAAAATAATAAGAAACATGACAGAACATGAGAACCCAACAGATAATTAAGCAGCCACTGTGGACAGGTGGTTTCACCATCCAAGCTTGCCAAAAAAAAAAAAAAGATGAACAAGGGATGACAGGTGGACTGTTGATTTACCAGGAGCTTAGACAAACAAATCCCAAGGTTAACAACTGGCTCAAGAGATTATCTTGCTAAAATTATAGGGTAAAACAATTAGAAACTTGCCGTTGACTGTACTTTAACAGTTAAGTTGTCTCAAGTTATATAAGGTATGGTAGTAAGTTAGCTGTCTTCAGTCAGCAAAAGTATACTCGTGGAAGTAAAAACATTGTCCACCTTTGAGGGAACTAAACAGGATTGAAGGAACCAGGACAATCTGTTAGGCTACAGTCACAGTGATGAAATGAACAGCAGTCTGAGAGAAGCTACAACCAAGATAAGAGACTGCATGCCTTGGAGATCCATTGCTGTAAACCTTAAGAAGCAGCAGCTGAGTAACTGATCATTAGCTTCCTGTTATGTCTGTAATAAGTAACAATGATGATAATGAAAGTGATGATATTGAAGATGATAGCAGTGGAATCGGTTGAAAGGAATCATTAGATAATGCAAACATCTAAAACACAAACAATAATAACTAGCAATGAAGTGAAATCAAACAAACAAATCTGAGTAAATATTTCAAAACATGCTCTTACTTTGGCCATGAGTTCAGTCAGTTTGTCGTCGCCATTGTACACAGTTCCTGAAACTAGTCCCTTCCTCCAGTCATCGTTTGCTGAAAAAGGAATTCACTGAATCAACTACAGTTAACACAAACAAGCACAATACTGCAGCCATATCAATGTGTGTTTTACTTTTTCTGCATCTGTCCTTAAAAAGGCAGTTGGTGTAATGTGTTGTGGTCCGTACTTTGCGAACTACGTGAAGAAAGTGTGTCACAAACTAAAAATAACCAACCAATCATGGTCAAACCTCATGGTTAGTCACTGCAAATGACTTTGTGTGGTTTAACATGAAAAAAATTCCAAAAATTCACAATGAAGCGGCTGATGAACCAAGCACTTCAACAGGAAAGCAAAGAAGCTCCAGGCTTTTCACAGTCCAAAAGGTGATCAACACTTTGGTTGATTCAGTCTTTGAGGAGTCAGAATTTCAACAAGAATAGATATCCAGTTCAAGTGACACACAAACTGTGAGAGCTCAAGTGATGAGGAGAATCTTGAACCTTATACATCTAGAGCTAGATTAGAAGTAAGAGAAGGGGTGCATGTCCCTGAAACAGCTGAAAAAGGAGATCAAGGTGGTGATGCAGGTTGGACAAGGAATTTTATATCACCAAACACAGATCTGAATATCAATGATGTAAGGTAAACCTATTTTCTACAATGTCTCCACATTTCATCTTATTCTAACCACTTGTTTGCAAGTAACTAAAATGTATGTATTTCATGTTGGTTTTCCCACTCTAAAGCCCAAGAGCCCATGTATAGGGGACAGTTAGGTTCAGGGCCTCAGGTCTGGTAGAGTTAAGAAGCAACTGGTCCCCCCCCCCCCCCCCAACCCAATTGGGGTCCCAGAATCCACGCAGGGATGTCTTTTCATTAACACTTATTGTTTTGTCTTGATATTATAACATTTGGGAGCTGTTGGATCCACAGTAGTTAGCATCTTGCACATCAACCTTGTGATATATTTTGATCTCCCCTGATGCTGCAATGTTAATTTTAATCATCCATGCTCCCAGGTTAACACAGTCTACAATAAGTACCTGGAAAAGATAAGAGAAAAAGTGGTGGCCAGCATAATACTGACATCATAACCTATCAAGTGATTATTTTCTTCATCTTCTTCTTTTTCTTCTTCCTCCTACTCTTCCTCTTCTACTGCTTCTTCTGTGTTTACCGGCTGTGAACTAAAGTGGAGAGTCATAGCTGGATGTCTCTGTCCAGACTTAGATCTTCTTCCAGAAATTTTGCAAGCATATCTATTTTCCAGATCTGGCTTACTGTGTGCAGGCTGCTAATTTCTTGCCTTTTAGGCAGATGCATCCCAACTTTGACAGAAACACTGATCCTATGTTGGCCAGCTCCCAGTTGGAAAGCTACTTATAGATGCAGATATCTAACTTTGACAGAAACACTGATCCTATGTTGGCCAGCTCCCAGTTGGGAAGCTACTTATAGATGCAGATATCTAACTTTGACAGAAACACTGATCCTATGTTGGCCAGCTCCCAGTTGGGAAGCTACTTATAGATGCAGATATCTAACTTTGACAGAAACATTGATCTGACCTATGTTGGCCAGCTCCCAGTTGGGAAGCTACTTATAGATGCAGATATCTAACTTTGACAGAAACACTGATCCTATGTTGGCCAGCTCCCAGTTGGAAAGCTACTTATAGATGCAGATATCTAACTTTGACAGAAACACTGATCCTATGTTGGCCAGCTCCCAGTTGGGAAGCTACTTATAGATGCAGATATCTAACTTTGACAGAAACATTGATCTGACCTATGTTGGCCAGCTCCCAGTTGGGAAGCTACTTATAGATGCAGATATCTAACTTTGACAGAAACACTGATCCTATGTTGGCCAGCTCCCAGTTGGGAAGCTACTTATAGATGCAGATATCTAACTTTGACAGAAACATTGATCTGACCTATGTTGGCCAGCTCCCAGTTGGGAAGCTACTTATAGATGCAGATATCTAACTTTGACAGAAACACTGATCCTATGTTGGCCAGCTCCCAGTTGGGAAGCTACTTATAGATGCAGATATCTAACTTTGACAGAAACATTGATCTGACCTATGTTGGCCAGCTTCCAGTTGGGAAGCTACTTATAGATGCAGATATCTAACTTTGACAGAAACACTGATCCTATGTTGGCCAGCTCCCAGTTGGGAAGCTACTTATAGATGCAGATATCTAACTTTGACAGAAACACTGATCCTATGTTGGCCAGCTCCCAGTTGGGAAGCTACTTATAGATGCAGATATCTAACTTTGACAGAAACATTGATCTGACCTATGTTGGCCAGCTCCTAGCTGGGAAGCTGCTAGGTGTACTTGACCAATGTGAGCCCTCATCCTGGTGTTTTTGCACTTCTTAATATCTGCCAACTGAGTTTTGCGTGCACACCTATTTTACAGATCTGACTTATTTATATGCATAATGTTGATTTTTCACAGCTCAGACAGATGCACTCCGACTTCAAAAGAAACACCCTAATTATTTGGCTTTCAGGACATGCTACTTAAGAGGATAGCGTATCCATTCTGCTTTTTACCCCTACAAATTGGGTCCTGGAACCCATACAGGAACTTTTAATCTTTCCTTTGAATTTTTGGCGAGCAGTTTCTGTTGCTAATTTACTGCTCTAAGTTATTCCAAGTCTGTAACATTTTACATTTCTTCAGCACTGTATGTATTCTAAACAATATCAGTATTTATTTGTCATATAATTAATTACTTCAATACTCACTCATGCTCTTGTACTTTGCTAGCTCTTCTAACAATACATTCTGAAAATTTCAACAACAACAAAGTTAACTGTTGAAACTAGTGCTGTACCAAATATTTGCTTCGTATTCGCTTTGGAGCTGAATAGTGGACCTAATAACTATTCGGTATTCGGCCAAAAACTTGTGGTCAGGCCGAATATGAATAGTGGTTACCTTACACTCGTTTCTGCATACACTGTGACAGTTGCTGTTGCCTAAGTCGCTTTCATGCATTAACTAAGCTGTCATTGACAATTTACAAGTTTGGTTACTTGTTATAAAACTAAGAATACTTTCATTCCTAGGTATTAGTTACCACAGACTGACTGGCTGAAGGATGCAGAACATGAAATGATTTTAAATGTTTACTGCATTTTGTGAAGTATAATTTCAGCGCACATTTGACATTATGAATGTTTTTTTTTAGATCTATTTTATACACTAAACACTATTCAAAAGTGGAAGAATAGTTTGAATAGTGGGAAGACCGAAGTAATGGTGGTATCACAGAAAACATTTATTTCTAAATGTGTAATAAAAGTCAATGGTGTTATTTTGGGACAAGTACAGAAAGTTAAGTATCTGGGCAGATGGATAACATCAGATGGAAGATGCATTACTGAAATAAGAAACAGAATAGGACAGGCAAAAACTGAATTTATATTAAAATAAGAACATCTTTTGCAATATATCTTTGTCATTAAAGGTTAGAAAAAGAATTCTTGCTTGCTACATACATCTAGTTTTAACATATGACTGTGAGTCCTGGACAATCGGTAGGTAGGCCACACAATTTCTTGAGGCCTCAGAGATGTTGTTTTACAGAACAATGCTTAAAATACCTTGGACAGCAACAACAAAAAGCAACCACGAGGTTTTGAAAGAGGCAGAAGCCTGAAGACAACTAATCACAGACATCAGAAGGAGACAGTAATCATTTTTGGGTCATGTTATGAGACGATGGAAAATGGAACATGTGGTGACCCCTGGAAAGATATCTGTGGAAGGAGGGATAGAGGAAGACAACGAGAGAAGATTTTTGACAGCCTTGTTGCATGGCATGGAGGTGTGTCAGCACACGAACTAATACATGCTGCAGGAGATCGCAGATTACGGCGAGGCACAATAGCCCACGCCAGTCGGTAAGGCACCTGATGATGATGATACACTTCGTATTAGTATTCGGCCGAATAGTTAGTCCCGCTATTCGTATTCGGCCCTAGTTGAAACTGTATTATGTGTGTGAGTACTTTGATTGCTCTATGTGAGCATATGTGTACTAGTAAACATAGCTAAGGAAACGTTAAAAAAAAGCCGTAGGAAGATTTTAAAAATAAAATATAAAAACCCAACAAAAATAACAACAATGTCAGAATGTATAACTAGAGAGAGGGAAAGGAGAGAGGGCGAGAGGGAGGGCAGAAAGAGACAGAGGAGAAAGGGGTGGGGGAGGGGGAAGAAAAGACTGAAAGAGGGAAAGAGAGAAGGGGCAGAGAGAGGGGGAAAAGGGGAGGAGAGAAAGAGAGAGAGAGAGAGAGAGAGAGAGAGAGAGAGAGAGAGAGAGAGAGAGAGAGAGAGAGAGAGAGAGAGAGAGAGAGAGAGATGGATATCCACTGTAAGACAACCTTCAGTGTCAAGACAACACCTGACTGATTGACTGATCACCTGACTGACCGACTGACTAAATGACAGACACTCACCACAGCCCAAGTGACATATATAGCTATAGGTGAACAAAAATATTAACTGCCCTCTACACTAAATCACAAACGACAAATCAATGCTCACATGAAGACACTTAAAAATTAAGACTGAGAAGATAGGTCAAGGTCACTATTATTAATGCATTCACACCTGGGATGTTGTGTTGTGGTTTACAGCCAGGCTGTCATATTTTGGCTTTTGGCCTAACACATCCGATTAGAAATGTTTTTACTGCTTGCATTTACCACTTGCAGTGTAGGACAGGAGTGGTTGTGAGCCCTAGGAAGGTTGAATAGCTAGTGCAGTCGCCACAAACTGTGCAGGTTAGCATTTTTATCTTGCCTTGACAGGAAACAAAAAAATCACCTCAAACTGAGGATCAAACTTGGGTCTCCCACATGAGAGCCCACGGGGCCAGCTGCTCATCTCAGATTTACAACAACAACAAAATGATTACCTTTCTCATGTTTATTAAGGGAAAGTGCGTTTATTCTTTTACCCCTCTCCCCCCCCCCCCCCCCCCAATCACATATGGTGTCTCGGTACCAACAGGTAGAGAAGTGCTGTCCTATCTATACCTTTCTATCATTTAAGCAATAAAAGTAAAAGTAAACATCCCTTACACCCAAGTGCCGCATCAGGCATGTGAGGCTAGACTCATATCCTTATAAACCACTTGGCCCTCAGTGGTTGATGTGGTCAACATCATGCCGGCCGCCTTTACTTCCCAGGACTTGGCCTGGTACCCATTTAGGGCTGGGTCAATAAGGTCATGTTAAAAAAAAAAAAGCACACACATGCTGGCTCGATGATGATCTAAACCCACGATCTTCAGATCAGCAGGCAAGCATTTACCCGATACACCATGACGGCTTTCATAGAAGTAACACTGCTTAGTATTCGAACAATCACATGATGTGAAGAAGACTGACTGCCCGTGCCTGTTAGCAAAGGTACATGATGATAATGATAATACCAGTACAGTGTGCATGTGATGTGATCGGCATTCGATGAGTGATGTGGTCAACATCAATTTAACGCTAGGTCGACCTGGGAGCCAAGGTCATTTCGGACAAAATTCAGGCTCCATCAGGACCTGAACCTAAGACCTTCAGATCCGCAGGTGAGCGTCTAACCGCTACACCACAGCGGCTCCCCAGATAAATTATATGAAGGAATTAATACACATTGTTCTGTTGATATGGTCACACGAAGGACCAATGTATTTCAAGGAAACTAACACATCAAATGCGGAGGTTTTGTGGAGACTGGAAATGAAAGAGAGCTCAGGAAAACAATTATTTGTTAAAAGATAGTATCCTTAACAAAATGTATACTGAAGGGGAAAGCTGAAGTGTGGAAGCAAGGAGGAGTCAATGATACAAGTGGGAAGATCTTCTTATTCTCATTCACTGGCTGTAAACTCTGGCAGAAGATTTTTGTTGTTTATCCTTTTAGTCCTCTTCCAGAACTTGACTGTTGCTTGCACATCCATTTTACAGATCTGGCTTATTTATATGCAAACTGTTGGTTCTTTGCTTCTCAAGTAAATGTACTCTGACTCTGAAGGAAATCCCCAATTAGTCGTTTCTTTTGACATGCTTGTTGGGGAGGCAGTGGGTCTATTCATGTTTTCTCCACAATGGGGCCCCTTAACCCACCCAGGGAAACCAAGTGGAATGATAACATTAGGTCATGGACAAACAGCAGAATATCAGAGTAGGAGCCGACGGAAACTGTTTGAGACCCACTGCAGCCAACCTTCAATGTGAGGATGGCACCTGGATGATCTACTTACTATACAATACAAACAGCACAATCTAGGAAACATTTGGCTCTACATCAAAAATATCCACTCTTCTATGTACTGCAACATAAAGTGGGCCCAAATTCTTCACCGGAATGGGGATAGATAACATATAATTATGCTATGGGTTTATCTGAAGAACACATTTCTTAAGTCAATAAATTCTATAAATATGGCATTAGATAACTGTCACAAGAATCTTGCAGTGGTTAAAGCTCTAGGACTTTGTATATCTGTTATGTTACAATGAAGGGACATTTCTCCCAGGCTTTTCCTTTTCCATTCATCGCCTTCTTCGCTACATGCTTGCCTGCAGATCGGATAGTCGTGGGTTCAGGCCCTGACAGAGACCTTGGTTCTCAGGTTGACCCAGCCTCAGATGGGTACCAAGAAAAGTCCTGAGAATTAAAGATGATCGGCTTTATGCTGACCAAATCACCCACCAAGTGCTGACTAGTCTATAACATAAAAGTCTAGCCCTATATGCCCAATATGCCTGAAGGTGTGGAAAAATGTCATTTATCTTTTACTTTACTTCTTCTTCTTCTTCTCCTTTGAATGCCTGGACTTTAGCAGGTATCAGTTATCATAATCTTAAAAGCATTAGAACAGGGCACAATTGACTTCACAACAATACACACATAAAATTTAAGACTGGCGAATCATCTATGTGGACTGGCCCCTGAGACAACAGATCACATCCTCCAAGACTGTCCCTAATACAACATTTCTGGGCAAAACAAGAGAGACACTGGTAGAAGCCAAACTTTAGAGGATCACTAAGGGAATTACAAAAGACGGCAAAGTTCATGCTAGTGACAACATTGCAGATACAGACAGATTTCAAGCGAATGAAAGAAAAAGATAATCTCAAACCCCCACTTCCCTGTGTGGTCACCGAGGCTCCACTGTGGAGAAACAAGAACAGACCCATTGCATCCCCAACAAGCAAGTTGTTTGAGTCAACTAACTGGGGCCTCATTCGAAGTGGGAGTGCATCTGCCTGAGTGGCAAGGAACAACCGACTGCACACAAATAAGCCAGTAAAACGGATGTACACACAAACTCAGGCCCTGGCATCAAGTCAAAGTCTAAATGGACAAACAACCAGGGCTTTCCGCCAGAGCTTATAGTTAGTGAACAAAGAAGAAGAAGAAACCTTCACTGTTGCCTGACATACTGATACGCTGGTGTTGCTGATACAGTTGTGCAGCACTTTAAGCTAGGCACTGACCTTTCTGGCATGTTCTTTTCAACTGCAGAAGTATTTAATATTAGCTTTATACAGCTTTTGGGGGAGCATATTGTGGAGGATAGCAGCCTTATCCTGGGAAGAGGAAATGCAACCTGAGAACTGTATGCTATGGCAGGGCAGACCAGACCCTTAGCCTTGTCTGGCAGCTGGTCTAGGAGGGAAGCTCCAAAATGCAGACAGACAGAGGGCTCTTCTGATCTGGCAGCTCGTGCAGTGTGCTTTGGTCCAAGCATACCTTTCCTTTGAAGTAAACAGAGGTTTGAGGTTTGAACAACAGATCAACATCATGGCGCACATGTAGTAACCTATAAGTGCTCTGTTCTTCTTCTAACCAGAGTCTGAGTCAGAATAAGCTCAGCACAGTGTAAAGGCTCTGTAGCACCAGCGAGGATTCTGAAATACTTTGCCTAGATTTTTAACTCCAAATTTTGCCAGGGCCAATTTCCACCTGCGAAGGGATTTTTTATGTGTGCAACAATGCACATGAGCGTCTAATCTCACTACCCAGAGAATAGGGGCAATTACTAGAAGTCCAAGTCTACGTGAAAAAATACCAGCTTCTACCGGGGATTAAACTCGGAACCTCTAGCACTCGAGGCGGACACCATGCCTCAAGACCACGCAGTAAACAAGGTAGGTCATTGGCTTGGAGGGGGGGGGGGGAATCATGATACAAAGGCGATACACAGTCTCTACAAAACTGCCAAGGCTTTGTGCAATGAAGAGAAGTAACTTCACAATGCCTCTCTATAGCACGATAGTAACATTATTATCTGGAAAGAAGACAATGTGCAAACAACTATATGGCTATATCTGTATAAAACTCCTTGAATTTTTCAATGATCCTGAGATTAAGTCGGCATCAGCATAGCTGCCAGCAGAGTAGAGAACAGACAAAGAGAGACACACTGTTCCTCCAGTCAAGATGCATGGCCAATGCCCCCCCCCCCCCCCCCCCCAACCCCCCACCAGCCAACTTCGTAAAATCTTATTGCTTAAATTCATGTCTCCTTGCTTGGGTTCTGGAGCTCCATTTTGAAGATTTGAGGAAACAAAGAATAGACTCACTGCCTCCCTAACAAAAACATTGTAAAAGTTTACTAATTATGAGTGTTTCTTTCAAAGTCAGAGTGCATCTGCCTGAGAGACGAGGAGCCAACAGTCTGCATACAAATAAGCTAGATCTGTAAAATGGATGTGCACGCGAAACTTACATTCTGAAATGCAACCAGGAGTGGATGAAGAACCAGAAGTGGCCGCCGCAGTTTACAGCTAATGAATGCAAAAAATAAAAACAGAATTTATCTGATTAGAAAAGTTTTTAAAAGTGATTGGTGCTGGTTGTTTCTCTGGGGAATAGAGGACAGACAAAAGGAAGATAAGGTATAACCTCAAAAGAACACATTAAGTGCATCTTGTGTATGTATACTCACCTCTGAAAGACCTTTAGCTGGAAGCTTGCATACATACTCCCCTTTCACATTTTTTATCATTGCTGCCTCAATTGTACTAGTAGTTTTTTCCATATCTGCCTCAATCTGTCTTTTAACAGCAGGAATTCTCTTCACTAAACTGAAAAACTGGCGCTTGACTCTTGAAGTTAGCGCTAGAATCGAAATTTACATTAGCCAGTATATGTTAACCCAAAAAAACAAAATTTGGAAAAACACAGTATATTCAAAACATCAGACCGTCTTCAGACCGCCAGAGTTGGAAGGAACTGATCAGACAGTCAACAGCAACTGGCGATCCAACAACAAGCAGTGTTACAGGATGATGATGATGATGATATCAGCGTTACAGAACATGTTACAATAAATAAACAATGGATGTTGTGATAACAAGCTTTCATTAGCAAGAATAGAAATTTTTTTTTTTTTACACACAGAAAAGGAAATGACTGAAATATGTAGGTGAATAAAACTAAACTAAAAATGATATAAAGTATGTGATACTTAGCTGGACCACTCTGAATTTTATAAAGGAAACAACTAATAATGGTATCACTCTATAAAGCAACATCTGTTTTACTTCTTTTCTCTATAAAGCAACATCTGTTTTACTTCTTTCCTCTATATAGCAACATCTGTTTTACTTCTTTCCTCTATATAGCAACATCTGTTTTACTTCTTTTCTCTATCAATCAACAACTGTTTTACTTCTTTCCTCTATAAAGCAACATCTGTTTTACTTCTTTCCTCTATAAAATTCACAGCAGTCCGGGTAAGATAATATATCTTCTTCTTCTTCACGTTCACTGGCTGTAAACACCGGGAAATGCAGCCCATGAAGAAAGCCATGAATGAAATTTCTCTTCTCTATAGCAGAAAGCCTGGGCAGTGTTGTAGGGGCCTTGTTTATTCCAAAGGACAGGCAACACCAATACCTTTGGAACAAAGCATGCTGCAGAAGCTGACAGTTCAGAAGAACAGTGCTTTGTCTTTCTGCATACAGTTGCCAACCAAGGCTAAAGGTTTTGTTTTGTCTGCCCTTTCAGGACATTACATTTTCAAGCTGCATTTCCCCATCCAAGGATAAAACAAGTATGCTCCCCAATATGCTCCTCTGTCCAAAGTTGCTGGCTCACTGGGGGGTGTCAGGTATAAGCCTCTAAACATTCTCAGAAGTGATCTTTTCTTCTTCTTAGTATTCACTGGCGGTAAACTATAGTGGAAAGTTATGGTTTTTCTGACACTCTTGACTTTTGTCTTATTCCAGAACTGGACTTCTGTGTGCATATTCATTTTAGAGATCAAGCTTATTTATACGCAGACTGTTGGTTCTTCTCCTTTTAGGCAGATGCACTCTGACTTGGAAGGAAACACCACTAAGTGGTCACTTTTTACAACTTGCTTGTTAGGGAGGCAGTGAGTCCTCCCCCAAATGGGAACCTGGAACCCACATGGGGACCAGAAGCAATACTAATAAAGCAAACCTTCAATTTTGTTAAATGAAATAAATACTCACTTTCATCCTCCTGAAAAAGGAAGTCTTTCAGATAGAGGACAACTAAAGTTGTGCCACTACTGTAGACTAAAATCTTCCATGGTTCAAGGCCATCACATAATCGATTTAGCAGAGCTTTTGTTCCATCTACAGCAACCAGAACAGGAGCCTACCGATTTCAAGATCACACAAATGTAATTCATTATTTTTAATAATATAACAGATGATACAGAATGCAACTGGTCTAGGCTGAATTATGCTGAAAGAGACACAGAAGCAAGGTCTATAGCAAGCTTGTGTGTCAGCCTCATGATCTTCCCGTGTGGATTCTGGGACCCCATTTGGGAGGGGGGGGTAATAACAGACCCACTACCTCCTTAATAAGCATGTAGTACAAGGTGACTGATCAGGGAAGTTTCTTTCAAAGACTGAGCACATCTGCCTGAGAGACGAAAAACCAACAGACTGCATACAAATTAGCCTGATCTATAAAATGGATGTACATGCAAAACTCAATCTGGACAAGACTAAAGCCCAAAAATGGATCAGCAATGAGAACTTTCTGCCTCAGTTTACAGCCAGTGAATACTTAGAAGAACTGAGAGCCCAGTTAATATTCTGTTCAAACCCAAACTTCAAAATCATTTAAACACAAGCCCAGCAGGCTGGCAAACAAGTTCCTTCTTCTTCATCTGCCATGATACAGGTGAATGGCACATTGCGTTGTGGTTTACAGCTAAGTCGTGATATCTGCTCCTTTCAGCCCAACAATCCTATTTCAGCAAAACCCTAAGTAGTCACCTTTTATAACATGCTTTTTTACGGGCAGTAGGTCTACACATCCCCCCCCCCCCCTCCTCCCTTTAACTATGAAAATGGGGCCCCGGAACCCACACATGGAGGTAGACAAGTGTATTAGCCACAGGCAAACTTATAAGCCACTACAAAACCAGGGCTCCATAACTGCACATCTTCTTCTTCTTCTTCTTCGCGTTCACCAGCTGTAAACTCTGGCGGAAGGTTCTGGTTGCTCGTCCACTAGTGAACTGTAGTCCTTCTCCAGAGCCTGAGTGTTGCGTGTGCATCAGTTTTACAGATCTCATTCTCTTGAATACAGACTGTTGGTTCCTTGCCTCTCCGGCAGATGCACTCCCACTTCAAAGGAAGCTCCCCAATTAGTCGACTCTTACGACATGCTTTTGGGGAGGCAGTGAGTCTATTCTTGTTTTCCCCATAATTGGGCCCCGGGACCCACACAGGGAACTGCACATCTATAAAGCCAAGTTATAACCTAGAACAGTTGTTATTGATACTACTACTACTACTACTACTACTACTGCTGCTGCTATCACTGCTGCTGCTGCAACTACTGCTGCTGCTGCTATTATCACTGCTACTAATACTACTTCTATTACTACTACTGCTACTACTAGTACTACTAGCTGCTACTACTGCTGCTGCTGCTACTATTACTGCTGCTGCTACAATTACTGCTGCTACTACTACTTCTATTACTACTACTGCTACAACTACTACTGCTGCTACTACTACTGCTGCTACTACTACTTCTACTACTACTACTACAACTGCTACTACTACTACTACTACTAGCTGCTACTACTACTGCGAGCTGCTGCTACTACTACTTCTATTACTACTACTACAACTGCTACTGCTACTGCTACTACTACTACTACTACTACTACTACTAGCTGCTACTACTACTACTAGCTGCTACTACTACTACTACTACTACTACTACTACTGCTACTACTACTACTACTACTACTACTACTACTACTACTACTACTACTCTAAGCTGTAGACAATAAAACATAATTCTTTGGGCTCAATGTTCAATTTCACACACATTTTTATTAAAGGCTTTCTGCATACTACGTTTTCTCAAGTACTAGAGTCTTATAATCTCTTAGATTTGTAAATATTGTTACACTACTTCTTTTTTTTTTTTTTTTTTCTTGAATGTGTTGCTAAGACAATGGACGCCAATTACACTGGGCGTGTCCTGAGCTGTGACGCTCTTTACTTAATTGATCAAACTCCCGATGGTTCTGCTCTGCTGACTTCTGTTGTGACAGTTTAGGATACGCCTCAGCTGCCTTACTAAATCGATCGATATCACACTCACAAAATTACATAAGTAATTTTAGCCATCTTTGGTGTAATATATCAGTGCCTATAGTATTTACAGCTCTAGACAACACAAGAAATACTGAAATAGCTGTTCTAAAACGAAAACGGCACCAAATGAACTAACATGAACTTCAAAGACGAGAATCTGTGTGTATATGATATGGGTAATATTAATTAGTAGCACATAAAACAAGGCTACCAAATGCTCGTCCGATTATCTGGTAATGAATTTAACAGCGA